AATTTCGTCGATTGCGAAAATGAAAGTCAACAAGTAGAAGAAGTTAGAGTTCCGGTATTCGCAGCCGTTTTTCTCTTCTTGTTAGTAGGTGAAGGAAGCATGACGCGTTGCCATTTACTAACCTATTATCACTTATCTGGGCGTGCCAATGTAAATTATTAACGTAGTTAATGGGGCAAGAACTGAGTGGGCAAGAACTGAGTAGGGCCGTTTGACGCCAACACACTTGGTTTTAACTTCTCCCGCAACTTAACCGTAGATAAGGGATAGAATTGCGTTGAGACCGATTGACGCCAACACACCTGGTTTCAACTCTCGCATCTTATCTAGCATGGCCATGGCCAATGTACATATAACCGTAGATAGGGGGAAGAATTGTGTTAAGACAGATGGACGCTAACACGCCCGGTTTCAACTTCTTCGGGTGAAATGACTAATGAACGCAGGAGATCAATCTATCAAACATGGTCTATCAAACATTTGTATCCATTTTACTTTTATTTATTATTTACTTGTTCCAGTTTTCCGTTACTTATGGTATATATGTTCCGTTTCTATTTATAGTCACGCGTTTGAATAGTGGGAATTCCCACCAAGTGTGGATTAGCAATGCTTAACCATTCTTTATTGTTAATATCAACACTTGATATATGAACATGGAATATCATATTATTTTTGGCTGTTTCATTTCAGACTTGGGTATAAACAGGAAAATATCCATAACCTTTCAACACGACTATCTTGTGAAATTTAACGAAGAGCTTTCGCGACGAATTGGAACCAAATAAGCGAAAGAGCGATTGATCACTCGCGCCAATACCTCGCCGTGATAATTAATGTCGCGCTTATCAAATAGCAATATGACGACAAAGAGAGATTGCGTAATGAACCAAAACGACGGTTCCTCGCGATCGTTGAAAATTTAACTGCTATCGTATATAAATAAATATGAGCCTGTGTGTTTATTCTGTGCAGATCCATTTTCTATTACAAAATGTTGATGTTCTGTAACGGTTTTATCGTTAATATATCAGTCCGGACTTGGCCTTGCTCATGATGTTTTTCACAATTCCTCTCAATATTTCGGGCCATATGTGATAACTGTCTTACCAAATGCGGCAACTTATTTTGATTTATCGTCGACTTGAATACCACCGGCACTCGACCAAACTTTTGTCAATCTGGCCGATAGGATCGCCGACTTGAGTTAGCAAATAAATGTTGTGAGCTGTAAATAAATGTTCACAAATGCATTGTTTCGATATAACTTTGTATTTTCGGAGAAAGGCATGTCATATAAGTTCGGGTATTTAATTATACGCAAATAAATTAATATTTGATCTAAATTTATCGCAAATAATGTTATAAACATTCAGTCCGCGAAATGATTGAATGTAAATGAAGCATGGCTAATAGAATATCGTCAATAAGTCGACATCAATAATTATTATTTATAAAAATGCTAACAAGGCAGTAATGTCGGATAATGCGAAAACGCTGCAAAAACAAGTTTCGTCGCGAGAAATCGTTGTTTGTTAATAAATTAGAAACCGTAATTTTTATTCAGTACTCAGGTGGTTTTTAAAAACTATCGTTTCATAATATCCGTATACAGTGTCGGTAATGATAAAATAAAATTGATCGCATAAAATGGACGGTTAATTTGCGAAGGTGATAAAGAAAAACCAAAGCTAACACAAAAGATAAAAATCAGAATAAAATTAATTTGAATTCACTCCTTGATAGTTGTCTTTAACATCTGCCGCCGGCGTGTAGTACTGCCAAGAATAGGAAAACCCAACTTCAATGTCCCATTCGGAAAAAAAAGTGGATTCAATTGGTTGTTACGATAGGTTTAAATGCGTGGAAAAATATCGCAATTACGGGGTCATTACGTAATTGATTTTGCCGTAATTACGGAATTGATTTTTGTCAATTACGTGCAAGCCTAATATCCAGTATGATTTATGCGCAGACTGACCAAAACACTGTAGACGAGGGCTGGCATGAGCTTCCGTTTGGTATTTTCTTGGGTATTTCAGAATTGTTGAAAATATTCAAAAACAAAACCGTGAAAGTTAGTCCTAGAATACCAACGGGGGAGAAAAACAACTGTTATTTCATAGTTGATCACAACGAAAACATACGCAGAAAAGAGAAAAAAGTGAAGCAAATTTTCGAAGACGATTGCGGAAGCTGGAAACAAACCAATTATACCTCCGCTCTGTATTTACTTCAAATGACGAAAGTTAAATATATTTATGAGAAAGGGGGAGATTTTGCATAAGATCGCGCCACGGAAAAAAACTGTCATATCCAGTTATTGAGCCACAACCCAAAACGAGTGAAATATGGAGAATTGGACGTATATTATGCTCGGGCAAACCAACTGGCTTATGAACGACCGAATCACTTGGATCGATGGCCACATTGGTATGAATGTGGCAGTAGTGGCAAGGGCATAATTCCTGGTCATACACCTCATGGAAATGCAAAGATAAACCAACAGGCGTACATAAGAACATCAGCAGACGTTATGGAAAATATTATATCTAAATGTGAAGGCGTTACTGCAAAAAAACTTTATGTTAATCTTCAACAACATGCGGGAGGAAAACCCCAGAAATCTAAGGTTCAATCAAAAAAAGAAAAGCAGGGAGCAGGAATAAAAATATATCATAAAAATTACGCTGACGAGATATTAGAGGTCATTAACATGGCGCAAACAAACGAATTTGTACAAAAAGTAACCCACAGTAAAATGGAATCTGTTAATGTAACTTTATTCTTTGAAGAGCAATGCTTGGATCTGAAGCGGTTTTGTTGCTCAGGTAAAACTATTCTTGGGATTGATAAAACTTTCAATTTAGGACGAGTCTACGTCACAGTTACAGTTTTCAAAATCTTTCCTTGCTGTCATGTAAATCCGGTGAACACCCATTGTTTTTCGGTCCTATATTTTTACACCACAAATCCACATTTACAGAATTTTTTACCAACATAAAATCCAAACTTGGTAGAAAGTTGGATAACTTGACCGTTGGTACTGATGACGAATCGGTCCTACACGGTGCTTTCACATCTTCTTCTCCGGATTCAACTCATGTCCTTTGCAGCAGACACATGAGGGAAAATTTAATAAATTATCCTAAGGATAAGGTCGGTACCAGTGAAAACCTCCGGAGATCAATTGTTAGTGAAGTTTTCGGTTTGTTTCATTGCCAAAATGAAAAAGAGTTTGATTCAAAGACTGAAGAAGTCGTATCGTACTGTAAAACCAGGTGCAAAGGTATTGTTGGATACCTAAAACAAGATTTCTTCCGTTATTTAAAAATAATATTTGGCAAAAAAAGTCACATACAAATGGATACCTATGGACAAATAACAACAACGAGTCCTTAAACCATGTATTGAAATGCGTTGCCAATTGGAGACAACATAAACTTTCTGATTTAATTCACATGCTTGGTGATATAATCAAGTCGTCGTATACCGATGTGAGAAAGGCACTGTTGAAGCAAGGACCATACACGTTGTACGGACCATATGCCCAATTTTCGTTGTCCGTATACACTTGGATGCTGAAGTCGAACAAAATAAATATTTTAAAGATTTTTTACAACGTGTTCAGTTGTCTTCCCCTGATAAATGTCCTCCTCGTCTTTGTTCATCAACTGATGGTAAATTGCAAACAATAACTCCATCACAAACAGCTGGATTGAAAAAGGGAGAAAAAAGGAAGAGAAAGACTCGAAAAATATAATTTTCATTAATGACTATTAAATATGTAGACCTTGATAGAGTCGGCCCTTGACACAATTCGTTAATATGCCTAAGCAATAAACTTATTTTAATTGCATCAAGACATATACTAGCTTTTTTTCTCAGATATGCATGGCTATATTAAAAATGCAGTAGATGACATAGCCGTTTTAGTAGGGACATAGCGGAAATAGCCATTTTAGTAGGGACATAGCCATTTTAGTAGGAACATAGCGGACATAGCCATTTTAGTAGGAAAATATCGGAAGTCGCAATTTAGATGGGACATAGCCATTTTAGTAGGGACATAGCGGACATAGCCATTTTAGTAGGGACATAGCGGACATAGTCATTTTAGTAGGAAATTATCTGAGTCGCAATTTTAGATGGGACATAGCCATTTTAGTAGGGACATAGTGGACATAGCCATTTTAGTAGGGACATAGCGGACCTAGTCAATTTAGTATGGACATAGCGGACATAGTCATTTTAGTAGGGACATAGCGGACATAGTCATTTTAGTAGGAAAATATCGGAGTCGTAATTTTAGATGGGACATAGCCATTTTAGTAGGAACATAGCGGACATAGCCATTTTAGTAGGGACATAGCGGACATAGTCATTTTAGTAGGAAAATATCGGAGTCGCAATTTTAGATGGGACATAGCCATTTTAGTAGGGACATAGCGGACATAGCCATTTTAGTAGGGACATAGCGGACATATGGGACATAGCCATTTTATAACTACCCGGATAAATATGTAAATCCTATGCTGCGGCGCCAATGAAAAATAGCAGATGCATCGGACCAGAGTGACTACAGTCACTTTGCATCGGACCAACTAGTACGGTACCGGTTCCACAGTAGTACCAGTACGTTGGGTAGAAAAAAACATTCTGCGGCAGAAAATGTGGGTCACAGCTAGTTTGTAATAAGCTGTTGCATACGCGTTACGCATTCCCAGAGAGGGTCTAATTAAAGGAACCCCATTTTATGGCTGTTATTTAAGAGTGTTTCAGAAAGTAGGAGCTTGCAAAATGGCTCACATTACACATTATCGAAACTACTGAACTATCATTTTTATTCAAAACAACAATCCAGGCGCCACTTATTGCCATTCGTACGGTACCGTACCGACCGAGGTACTGCTAATTTTAGACTAGTTCGTCGTAGGGTTTGGCTGTCAATTTTTGATTATTATAACTAAACTAAAGGTCCTTAGAAGACATAGCGACAATTAATTTATTTGATTTACAATTAGCCAATTTTGTTAGTTTGCTAAACGAGTTAAGAAGTTGAAACTGAAATTCAAAGCAATAATGGACAAATGCAAGATGATACATAGAATTGGATTACGGTTGCTAGCTGATCAGCCTGGAATACTTCAAAATGTCAATAGGGGCTCTAGTAAAAAAAGTGTCGCCTGTTTCACCACCCTGCAAACTCCTAAGAAACCAGTTCCATTCAATGAAATGAAGAAGACATATATATGTAACACAAAAAGATACTCATCGTCAAAGTACGAAAACACTTTTGTTAAATCTTTTCACAATAAATTAAGTATTTCATATTTTCATTATATCACAGTATCCTGGTATCGGTTGATCAGTTATGTAGATGCAATTCTTTAATTTGAATTCTATTTTATTCAATCTATCAAAATCAATATTCAATTTTTTTTTTTGGATTTACATATTTATCCAGGTGAGAGGAAAGCTGATAAGATGGCTTAACCATATGACTAACCACGGGCTCTCGTCCGGTTACCATTCCATGTCTGGTATGGGACTAGTTGGTTATTCGTTTTCGGAAGCATGGACTTGATGGTGAAGGAAGCTGTAACCGACCAGCGGTTCCGTGAACCACCCTACGACGGTCCAGCAATCCTCTCGCACATAACCATCCCCGCATGGGATTCGAACCTGCGAACCCACGCAGAGTAATCAGAGGTGCAGTGGCGAGCGTATCCGATTCATGATCATGCTTTGCATGATGAGCCACACCGCTGCGCAGTTCATCAAAGTTTGCAGCAAAATACTGATTGAAACAAGCTCATTACTCTTTTCCACCATCTTTGTTCAATTGTTTTAGACCCAAACTGGAAAGTGTGGGAAAGTTTGAAACACCTAAAACAGAAGGAAGATATGAAACAGGTCAATTGTTTCTTCATAAAGTTTTTGGCTATCGTGGAGTAATTTTGTTTCCATGGTCTGCACAGCTTTACGAAAGAGACAAGAGTGATCATACAGATGGCAAGGATAGGTATATATATGTTATTGCTGCAGTCATTTTTATTATCCTGAGAATAACAATATTACAATTGAAGTACGTACACAAGCTATCTCGCCCACAGGCTAATGGAGTGGACTAGTGATTGGGGAGTTATTAAGATTTCCCTTTCTTGTATATTTTCTCAACTTCTGGTAAAGCATTTAATTATTGTATTATAATTTATTTTGACAGAGTACCAGAAGATGGCTCATCAGGAAAACAAGTTATTGCAAGAACTTTGACATATTATCAAACATTAGTTGACTCAAGAGATTGTCCACATATTGTATGAACATTTTTACAATTTTTTTTTTAAATGATGTTATATTGCCCTGTTAAATTTTGCAACACAGATGATACTCTTATTGGATATGGTAGAACGGTTTAAAATAGGAATCAACGGTACATTAGCAGGTCCAGTACCTGTTTTCTTGAGATGTCGGGTATTATACCAAATCAGACCGCTTTGAAAAGGTTGTCAGTATTTATTTTGGTTATTTCTTGGCAAATAGCTTGTTAGAGTGACAGCATGTAAATTTAATTAATGTGGTATTTCAAGACCTATTAATGGGCCGAAGCCCAAATGTTTTAAAAGCTGTGTGCTTCTAAACTATTTCCACTGTACTCGTGGGTAACATTTTTTTGACTTGAATGTTTGTCTGTTTAGAATGCTCAAAGCGAAGCCGTAACATTCCTTGGTAACAATGAAAGAGGTCAATCATTATACACAATTCCTGGTCTTGATTATGTCAGTCAAGAAGATATTTTACCTTATACAACCTCTGAAAAAATTCCGATTCATCATGAGTTGTTCGATAAATTTTTAAGTTATGATCCAAAGTCTTCGAAGCGTAAGTCAACTAGTAATAGTTTATTGAGAAATGTGTTCTTTGACAAAATCTTATTTTGCCATAGTTGAACTACCAAGCAATTTACTTATCAACTAATTCCCAGTTTATAGTTCTATATGAATAGTTAAGAAGTCTAAAACGATCCCAACCAACTATGGAAAACGGTTATCGATCTGGATTCGTAGTGTAAAACCGTCTCAAGGCTCTGACTTTTGATATATATCTTTCAGCTGCCGACAAGCGAGTTGTTATCTTGTTACTTGCTTAATTTTATGTTTAACAAGCTTTCTCAGGTAGGTTTTGTGTCTTTGCCATCAGCTGTTGCCATCATATAAAAGAATCATGATTGATTTCTGTAGTTTGGAATTCATACATTTTCCCAACTTACTTCTAGTTTTTAGTTATAGGTTAAACTACTATTGTAATAGTTGAACTAAAAAGTTAATCGTTTCACATATCAAACAGTTCCTCAAGCGACAAAGACACTAATAACATGGCAAGAAAAGAATCATATGTGTTTGGAACTGTCAAAAGTTCATCAAGAAACTACCGGAGATATAAGAGTAACTGCGATGCCATTTTTTCTTGGTGCTAAGGTAATATTCATAAAATAGAATATTTAGAATATTGATTTTGTTTGACAAAAAAGTTGGAAAGTGACTGTAATTGTATCATTCTTGATTAGAAGGTCACCCAGTGATTTAAACTGTGATATTCAAACCATACCAATAATGGCAGGTTGTGTTATCTGATATTGAAGTTGAATTTGTGTATCAGCATTTGAAAACATTACTGGAACCTATGAATATTTGTGACACGGTCTTTCTGTATTAGTTTTTAATATGATATGAAGTTATGCAGTTGCTGTTTATTAATATAGATAGCAAATCCAATATTCTTATCCATAACTTGCCATGTTTCTGTGATGTGTAAAACCATAATAACATCTTTCTGGATAGAAAAAGCATAATATAAATTTAATAAATACACAAAATTTACCACAGTTGACAAGGGGCAGTGAAAGACTATCAAGTCATTGTGCCAGCAACAGCAGCACAAGGTCAGCAGCAGAAGCCTCAGTTGGTTAACATGTTATCTTATTTTATTACAGGATAATCAAAATATGCATGAATATTGGGTGAGATTTTAGATTCTATACTTTCAATTTCAAAATAAGATTACTGCATTCATCGGACAATATTTGAATTTTCTCAATTTATATTATGTCTGCATTCTGCAGTTGATATGAGATCTAAAATTGGTTGAAATTATATATCATTTTTCATAATTGATACAATATTCAATTTACCAATATGTAAATGATCAATCTTTCTATTAGTTAGGAAGATATTTTTGAGTACCAAGATTTTTGGTATGTATCATGAGATACAGACACAAATCGAGTTTATTACACCGGCAGTGCCATATCTCCTGCTGAGATTTGAAGGCTTTAAGACTTGACCTTTTTGTATTCCCCACTGCCTGTTCTATTATTGTTTACGACTGAAATTAACAACTTATTGTTTGCTTGCATTTTCTAACGAGTAGCATGTTTTATACTTTGTTAAGTTTGTTTTTATTATCATTTCAATTATTACAAGTGGAGATACCTGATCAGGATAGAGAATTTTTCAAATACGACTGTTCAACTGAGAGAGCGACATTGGAAAACCTATGAAGTTCATACTGGGAGACTTGGCACAATCAGTGGCAGGGGTGTGGTGGGATTGGTGGGTTAAAACAGTAGAATTATTACCCCCAAACACCTCTGGCCCTGAAAGTTCATGGGTTCCAGTTGCCCTGAAAAAAAAAATCATATTCTCTAGAACTCAAACTGAAAGATGTTTTTCCCTTCCTAGTGGCGTTATTGCATCCGTATTGAAAACCTTGGAAAATCCCCTGTTCAACTGCGAGAAAGACACTGGCGAATTATCAGCAATGGATCCGTTAAAACTGTTCGGGGTCGAGGGGTGATTGGCAGGGTATGTTAGCAAAACTCAAAATCTTTCAATAAAAAATGAATAGATATGATTGCTTCCGAGGCGGTAATTGTTTCCTTTTTTATAGTGTTATCTTTTCAGGACACAATATATTTTTATCATGTCATGGTAGTAATGGTATCTACAATTGTACTAACTTCATCTGGGACTGGTTTATATAACAGAAGGTTCTGCTGTAGATTAGCATGCAATAACTCAACCTCGTGTTAACACTATCAATTTCACACATCTGTTTGCATTATGCGTTTTCAACAGAGTTTCATCAATCTGCAAGTAATATATGGTGGAAGTAAAGTTTATTGTATTTGTAACCAATATGTCACCATTTTCAAAAAGTTTTTGAGATGAAGATTTTTTGGTCTATACAATGTCAAAATCAGAAACTTATCTTATGTTTTCGCACTTAATTGCAGGAACCAGTGTTATCAAAACAACAGCCTGCATTTCAATATAGCAGCCATGTATCGTTACATTCACCTACTGGACATATGTGGTAAGTGATATATTATATGTATAAGTTTTTTGTGTCAGCATGACATAGTTTTGCATTCCATATATATACCTAACGTATATTTTCATTGATGACAAGCAATTGTTATAAATTCATTTTAATAATAGGTGTAACATGTAACACATTATTAGTAACAAAATTCAAGGAAAGCCTCATTGCTTAATTAGGAAGGGACATATCTAGCACCTTGTCCCAGTCCTATTTATTTGAGGTTGTCAATTTTCATATAAAAATCTACCAATACAGTTGTTATTTTTATTTACAGGGGAATGTTCAGAATGGAGAGACCTGATGGTACACAGTTTGATGTTAGAATTCCCGCTTATGCTCTTGAAAGTAAAATTGATCCAAACTCTGATAATGGACCACATGGTTATCACGGATCATAGACAATTTTATCACTGCTATATCGATGAACAGTGAAACACTTTAGCACTCGTTCTATGCTAAAGCCATCTGAATATGAACTTGAATTTTAAGTTGGAGGATGTCGTCGCAAAAATTATTTCTATGGATCATACATGTGCCACTGTAACAGACTAAGGGAATTTGGGGTTTAGCTAGTTAGTGAATTTGATTTGTCTAGGGGAATTTTGTGTTTATCTTGTTACAGGGAATTAAATATTACTGTAATATGTATGCAACATTATTCTATGTGCAATTTCTTTATTTTAGTACACATGAATGAGAAGTTTTCATCCCAGTCTTAAGACTATGCTTCCTGCATGACTCAGAAATTGGAGTCGAATAGCTTTGGTTTATAGTATTTTTAAGTGCCATAAAAATTGTTATTCATTTTTATCGAATCTTTGAAGTTTATTGGTTTTCAGCCTTATGCCTTATACTCAATATTTGAAAATGGCAAATGTTGTTTTCCATATTTGCCATGATTTTAAAACAATTACTTGTTTGCATTGGGCACTGATGTCTGACCTTGAGTGCTTCATTGTCTGACGCTAATGATATTTTAACTATTTTGTGAATTTAGATGCTATATTTCGTAACAACTTTATGTAGGAATAAATTAAAAATACTTTTGTTACCAAAGTTCTATTCTACCTCATCAATTCCTACATTAACACTTTTCACAAAGAAGCATTGTCATTTATGTGACGAAGCGAAACTGGAATTAGAATCTTATAAAGGAAAGTTCAAGTTTGAACAAGTTTTTATCGATCGTGAAGAAAATTCCAATTGGTTTGACTTGTACAAGTATGATATACCAGTTTTTCATTTTAATGGCAAGTTTTTAATGAAACATAAAGTGGATCACGAAGCTTTGCAAGACGCATTGAGAGGTTTTGTCAAATGAGGTTTCGCGATGTCTGAAAATATTAAAAGACAAAAACAACTATGGAAACTCATTCAAAAAGGGAATTACGTGAAACTGGAGGCTTTCCTTGAATCTGATATTTCAAGTTCTATGGAGTTAGTAAATATGAGACACAAAGCAGCCGGTGACTCTGTTATACACTTATCAAGTCGTCATGGTTTTTTGGATCTTGTTGAATATTTCCATAAAATCTGGAATGTCTCCTTGTATTTGAAAAATCTTGATGGAAAAACCCCCCTACATGAAGCTTCTGCAAATGGACATTTTGATGTGGCAAAATATTTGTTAGATTGTGATGTGCCGGTCGATAGTTTGAAAATAAGTGATTGGACTCCATTAATGCTTGCCTGTACCAAAGAAGGAAATATAAAAGTGGTTGATTTGCTTGTTTCAAGTGGAGCAAATATTCATTTAATAAACAAGGTATAACATAATATTTACCCTTTGAACAACAAACTGGGTATCCATTTTAGGTTCCCTTATTGAAATCGATTGGTGTTTGTCAAAGTCTAAAATCCCATATCAACGCAATGTGACATTATTAAAAAAAAAGTTAGTGCATGCAATCTATTTATAATATGGTTATCTATACTCGCTCTAGCCCAGGGGTGGGCATGGTTTTTGAACCAGGGGCGAAAAATTTTGCCAACCTAGACTGCCGGGCCATGTAAGTATTACATAGAAAGTTACATTTCATGAACAATATTTACAGTGTTACAAAGCAAAGGTAGAAAACAATATGCCTCGTTCCAAAACTAAATTTGACCGCAATCTCAACAAATTTCTTGAGGTATTTTAGCTAAAACATCAAAATTTCGGTTTGGTTGTGGCAGCATTAGGCGGGCCAGATCGAATTACCCAACGGGCCGGATTCGGCTCGCGGGCCGTACTTTGCCCATGTCTGCTCTAGCATGTTGCGATAATGGAATTAGCAATCCCAATTCATCCCGACAATGAAAAGTTTGAGCTTTTGCTAACTGCAAGTCATTGGTGTCTAGTCGTTGGCATTTTTCTGAGTCTATTTTGCTTTGTATCAGCCTTCCATGAATTTTGTCATGAAATGTTCATTATGCCTTGGAAATTCTTGCTTTAGGTCCAATAAAGTTTTCTTTGTTATTCAGGATGGATGGAATTGCTTTCATATTTCGTGTCGACTAGGTGATGTAGATATGGTGAATTATTTGTTGAATTTGGATGGATTGATATGGAAAACAGTCAGTAACAATGGCCGTACACCTTTACATACCGCTGCAATGCATGGGAAAAAGGAAGTTCTTGATATTCTTATGCAAAAATGTGATTCCAGGTACATCGTTTAATAATTGGATTTTATTTTAAAAAAATCAGCAACATTCCATTAGCTGTAGAAATCTACGATGGTGATCTGATTCATTTATAAATATTGGAAGAAAACTGGTTGTGAGACTATTATGTTATTCAGAACGTGTGCAATTCTTTGTAAAGAAAAAATTTAAGTCTCTTTGCCTAACATTTTTACAAATCCCAGTGTGCACCAAGGTTATATATACTGATATTTTTGAAAAATTGAGGCGACAGGTGTTATGTTCACCGTCCTATAGCCCGACAATATTTTGAATGGCACATTACTTAAAATTGCGGTTTGGTGAATTGTGCTAAGCATTAAGAATGGGCTTGTCACAGCACCTCTGATTATCCTGTGTGGGTTCGAATACCATACAGGGTTAATTATGTGCATTGGATTGCTGGACTCCTCGTCGCTGCAGGATGGTTCACATAATCGCTTGTCGGTTGCAGCTTCCTCCACCATCACGTTTATGCATCTGAAAACAAATAATTGGTCCCATACCTGACATGGACTGGTAACCGGACGAAGAGATCGTGGTTTGCCATATGATTAAACCGCATGAATAAATTTTATCATATGATGTTTCTTAAAACCAAAGTCTGGCATCCTTGGACAAGCAATTTTACTTGAAATTACAACTTTTCCAATTAAATTTTTTTCCCTCAATTTTGAAAATTGATTTGTTCTTTCACTTTTGAACTTATTGGTGTATTTTCCATTTGTATTACATTCAATCAGGTTGGATGAACAAGATTCCTGTGGGAGTACTCCACTCATGGAAGCAGTTAAAGGTGGACACTTACACCTAGCTAAAAATCTTATACGAAATGGAGCTCGTATTGAAAAGTTGGACAATCTTGGAAGAAATGTTCTTCATATTGCTGCCGAGTGTGGCAAAATGGATGTCATCAAATATCTGGTTCTTGAATGTCATATGGATCCAAATGCAAGGCCGGACTTTGAAGCTAATTTTAGCCACACTGCGTTGGATTGGGCTCGCAAAGAAGATCAAATGGGTGCTGTCGAGGTTTTAGTTAATTTGGGTGCAGTTGGCTAACTAACATCCATTCTTTGAAACTGCTTTCTGTCTCTTTTTTTATAATTCTGATAATATATGGTATATGAATATTCTTGTCTGCTTATTATTCTATGGAGAAGGGTTCACTCTGTACAACGCTGCTGGCAATACTCGGTATCGTTGACATACTCTGCCATGTTTGTAACACATTGTGGTAGATCGTGACGTCGCAAAAAGGTATCAATTCAGTCATTCTTGCTGCTACTCTAGTCTCAGTAAAATTTGAACGTTCATTTAAAGTTTTAGCCGCAAGAGTAAATGAGATATTTCAAGAAAAATCAGTTTAATTGACTATAACCCATATCAAAGAGACCCGATTTCTCTGACGGCCCTACTCCGTTTTCGAAAAGGTTGTACACCCTGTATGTGCATTTAATATCGCGCGAGTCATTGCTTAGCGAATCTCAATCTAGCAAGCAAGTTTGCGCGGACCGTCCGACTGTTTTATGCGGCCCGCTCGCTGACCGGAATTATAGGAATGAATTTGGAGCCTAAATTTGCAAATTAATTTCATTCTGATTGCTTTCTTTCCTGTCAGCTTTATCGCCAAAGTAAAATAAAAAGTCAACAATATCTTTGGTACTGGCTCCGAGGCTCGTTGTCCTTTTATGTGTGTATTTCAGTTTATGTTATGTTTGAAGATCTCGGAAATGTCGTCACTGCGTATCCGTCAAAAATTCTGATAAAATTGACTTATGACATTGCTACATATTCAAATTAGTATATATATATTCGTTCAGAAATCTTTGTATTGTTACCTCGTTAAATAAATACTTGTATTGTTGTTTCAAATTTTACGAAACGGCCTACTAACACTTGATATTCCCGCATATTATGCTTAATGTAAACATTGAGACAGTATCATAGCCACTGAAAATGATTGAATAAAAACACTATAACGCAAATATAAGACTCGATTTTGACGTCTTCGTTAGTGAGAACTGTGTGTAGATTCTCGTGTGGTCGTCAGAAATCCGCAAATGTGTTGTGTAATGATTGTTTCTTTGATTCGGTGGGCCGCGAAGGTCATGTCCACGTCCCGTGTAAACCGCTATTCTAATATTCGATTTGATATTCTAATATTTTGCCAGCTCTACTCATTAACCAGTAAATATTTATTAACTTGATTGATTTTATGTTCATAAACTTGTCTTTTATGTATTATGTATATTACACCGAAATCGGGATTTAGCTGGTATTAAAGTGTGGTACTAACGTTTGTTGCGACCCGCAACGAATTTCGTCATGTGAAAGTGGCCCGCGAGACGAAAAATTATGGGCAGGCCTAATATACAGTATGCAATGCGTGCATGGATTCATTAAAAAAAAAGTGTTTTTCAAACTTTTCTTATCGCGAACCATTTGGCATTGCCGATTTGAAGAGCCCTGCATTAGAATAAATGTTTTGAAACAATAATCTGCGGAGCGTTGAAAAATTCATGGTTTATAGTTTCTTGTCGTCCACAATTATTGGATAAACCACCAAACTGTTGTGGAACAACATAAATCTGATGACACTTCATTAAGGTATGATATGAAAGTAGCAGAAGTGGGTTTTATGTTTAGGCTCGAGTTCTGTCTTCTGTGTGCTTTCCCTGGCGCTTGACCTCAGGAGAAGCTGGTCCCGTGCTTCGAAGTCGAGACTAATAACTAGTGCTGGGAATGGTTAACCGATTTTAGATTGGTTAACGGTTACGATTTATTTCGCCCGTTAACTGACATCTTGGGTACAAATCATCTTTATAATGTCCAATTCCTTCAAAAATGATTAGGTCATCGCAAATTTATCTCCTGTGGCGTTTAATTCAAAAGAATATCACTAACTGTATTGGTAAGAACCCAATGAATGTGAAAAATAATTGAAGTAGGCCTACTAAGATTGCTAACTATGAAAATTTGATAAATTCAAAGTAGAATTTGCACATTGAACACTAAAAATTTGTCACATATATGACATTTAATAACGGGATCGACTTTTACTAAAATACTTCGGTATGTAAATAATTTTGAGCGATACCGGATTAAAGATGAGGTGGGATTTCTTTGTAATCATTGTGATCATCATTGTAATCATTGTCCCTGAAATTCCCAGCCCTACTAATAACATATTTGTAAACTTTTACTCGTCGCATGGAGTGCTTTTTATTGTAATAAAATGTTTTACACTCGACTATGACTATCACCAATGTTTATTCGTGAACTAAAAAAATTCCATCTCGATTTTGATGGCTCATCATTGTCAAAGCATACGGTAGCAATACTATCATTGCACATTGATGAGAAGAAATATTAGAGAGAATTTGGGTGAGCTTAGCTCAAAATGGGTGAAACTGTAATACATTCATTGCCTGATTGGTGGTACACTGAGGATTTAGACTAGAGTCATGCAAACATCGATTTTCGTAACATTGACCAATCAAAAAACGTCAACCGTGACTTAACAATCGGGATTTCAGCAGTTGTTCAGACAATTATATTTTTAGGCGTGGTTGTAAACATTAGCTCGTTCCGTTACTTTTGGTTGAGTTTTCGAGATTTAGATATAAATCAAATATAGCCTATATCCTATTGTCTGCCGAAGAGTTTTCGTTTATTTGCGACAAGCAAAAAGCCAGAAGTATCTATCAGTACTTTAAAATAGTAAGGAGCCAATTGTTTTAGGTCGAAATAATGTTTATAAACATTTGAACTAGTTGTGAATGTCGCTGTGTATATTTTCTGAGAGTAATAAAATTTATTGGCAATACAGCCAACAACAATCGAAAATCCATTATGCCTTTAAAAATTCTAATATTTAAGCCTGAGGTATTCTACTACCTACCAGTGAACCATATTGTTGTGTTTGGAATTAGAAATAAATTAGTAGAGAATAGATGACCACCACTGCCAGCGCGCAGCCAGGATTTTCGAAATCGGAAATTCCCATTGCCGCCTGTAACACCCACCGCGATTTCGCGCTCGTTGAAAGAGCTGTCTTTTCAGCGTATAATGATCATTCTGTTACGTAAAAAATTCAATCCATGACAACTACGAGATTCTAAAATATCTTTATATATTAATTTAATGTGTCAACGTAACTCGCGGTTGCTTCTTCTTACGTCAAAAAAAAACATTACTATTCGGTCCACGGCGATCTGTGACCTAAAATTAAGAGATAAACTGCCTGATGTATTTAATTTTAATACGTATTTTTGCAATCTTGCCAACTCGTTATCGACGTTAGAAAAATCTCAAATAATTATATAAAATCCTGTTAAGTGTAGAGTATAATTCATTTCATACAATGAATATACATATAAAGTTTAGCAGTGAATTAAAAATACATATTCATCGCCGCGATTATGCCACCTGTCAAAAGAGTCTACTTTTACAACAAATAATATAACAACGAATATATATTTTTCTGTTGTGCAAAGTGATGAATTCTGACCGACACGGGCATATATAAAATGTCTTGCTTTATTAATTTAATTGTCTTCAATTTAACCTGCGGTTGCATCGACAAAATAAAATCCGCACCACTCTTATATACCATTGCAATCCGCAGTCATAAAAATAAAAACGTGAGGTAAACTGTTCGATTAAATATTGTTTTGATCCGTATTTTGCGAATTCGGCAAATATTTAGATGTACTTGTTAACAGTGACTCCGCTCGATCGAAATGCTGACACTCTGATTATTTTTAGATAAAACCGTTCGAAAAATTCATGAATATGCTGTAATATCTCAGAGTAAAATTTATTTCATCACAATAAAATTGATTGAATATACTTTAGATTAATTATATTATATACAACCTCACAACCCGGGAAAAAGTCGCGTTTCAAACCTTGTATCGCGTAAACACGAAAGGATTCGACGGCAATTTAAAGTAATGGATAATCAGGCAAATCCCGCCCTCAATTAGTGACGATATGTTTCTAAACGCCGACCAAACATAATGTGTGCCAGAGGCGCACAAAATTTTGCGATTTTCACTGCCTAGAAAAGCGTTTTTTAAATTTTCGCGGGCCTCAATAGAACTTATATTGTTTACGATTTTATTTTCAGTATTTTAAATTGTCGCTTTTCAATCAAAAAGTTGCGTTGTCTTTTGAAACTCGCCGCCAATGAACGTATTTACCAGATTCACAATTCCGTGCTCGTACAAAAATAAAAATAAATGTTATCGTTATCGTGGAACAAATTTGTGGAAAATTTTCGTTTTAGAGAAAATACACAATCGTAAAGGCGTTTACGGGCCTAAATAACACGTTACGCTGATGAGTGATGAAAACAATCACGCGCAAGTTTCTATCGAGAATGTTTTCATTCAACGGAAACGTCTTGAAAGCGGCGTCGAAAAATGTGTGACGTCACACAAATATATGATATTCTTATGAACGTGAATTCCGATATTCGAATGACGAGATATTCGAATACATTCGAATACTTTATTCGAATTGGCCATCCCTGGTGGGAACGTAATATCAACGTGTAGCAAGTAGCAACCTTCTCTAATTATATTACTTTATTGCAGACAGTATTGAGAGAACTAGAACACCGTGACGGAATTAGATTGACGTCAGCACTCACGTTGATGCAACACAGAACGTTAATAAACATTTTGCGGAGATTAGCCATTGTTCTTGAAATTCCAGCCTTGCTAAATTAGCGGGATTCTGCATGTGTGAGTTGTGAGTCGGTACATCCGTTGTCAGTAGTTTCCAAACTTTCTACCCTGGCGGAGCGGTAAAATTAAATAAAATGTACTGACGGACCAGCAAAAAATTGAAATGAGTGGAACGGAAATAATAACTTATATTAACAAAGTCGTCGACAACTTGGCACCAGGCACAAAATCCTGTTGTGCATCACCTTGAAATGATGGCACCGGTCCGCGGACCAGCGGTTGGGAATCACTGCGTTATGTCATATCGGTATCTCCGAGCATATGTCGCAATTTCCTGTCGATCAGTAATCATTACGCGATTATTCGTTTTCAGAAGAAACATCGCATATTTATTCAGTTAATGGAAGTAAACAAGTCCGCATTATTTTTAATATAGA